GAATAATTACTGCGTTTGATGAGGAGAGAGTAATGTCGTGTGGAGTCCCGCAGGGATCGATCTTAGGTCCGACTTTATGGAATGTGTTATATGACCGAATTCTGCGCGTTCAGATGGAAAGTGGTGTATCCTTAATAGCATACGCAGATGACTTGGCTATTCTGATACGGGGAAAAACAGCTATCCAGGTAAAAGAGAAAGCACAATTTGCAGTGGATATAGTCGTAGATGAACTGCGCAAAATGGGTCTTTTGGTTGAACCTAAAAAGTCCGAATTACTGATTGTGGAAGGGCGCAGAACACTGGTTAGTATGGACTTGACCGTGGATGGTGTCGGGTTGAGTTCTTCAGAAAGTGTAAAATATCTGGGCGTGACCTTTGACCGCAATTTACGCATGACAACGCATGTTAAAAAAACAACAAAAAAGGCGCTTCAAATGACGAATACACTAAGAAAAATAATGCCGAATATAGGCGGACCCGGAAGCAAGAACAGAAAACTATTACGAACGGCAGTCATCTCGGTAGTCGCCTATGGCGCGCCAATATGGAAGTCGGCATTAAAATATCAAAAATACGCGAATATGTTAGAAGCAGTAAATCGAAAATTGGCGCTGGGAGTTGCAGGAGCTTACAGAACGACGGGAACAAAGGCAATTTTGTCAATAACGGGTCAACCACCGATCGATTTGATTATACAGGAAAGAATGGAAATATATGACAAAGGAAAAGATTTCAGAAATCAAGCACGAGAGAGTCTTTTTAATCAATGGCAAGCTCGATGGAATGAGTATAACTGTTGGACGAAGATATTTATAAGGAATGTGAAAGAGTGGACGGAGAGCAAGTTCGTTAGGGTAGACTATTATGTTACACAAGCGCTCACAGGGCATGGTATCTTTGCCACGTATCTTAATAACATCAAAAAATTAGATTCAGAAAGTTGTTGGTTCTGCGGATCGATAGACACACCGGAACATTGCATTTTCCAATGCTACAGATTTCATGAGATCAGAATGAGCGCGGCAAGAGAAATAGGAACTGAAATGACAAAGGAAAATATTGGAGATTTTATTATATCCTCCGAAAGTAATTTTAAAAGTGTGGCTGAGATGCTCAGGAAAAT